GTCCCTTTGGAAGGTTCTGGGTGGACAAGGGGATGAAAAGAGGAGAGACCCCCCACTTTTAAAAATATTTAGTCTTCTTTTTCTTTGATTTTTAACGTTAACCTACCCATTTCTACACATTCCAGTTCTTTGTTGATTATATTCTCGTCTGGGGGGGTTTCTTCATTTTTCCAGTATTGTGCGTATACAATCCTGGCTGCTTTTAAAATATGTCAAATTAGATATGTATTACCTTTATTATAATTTCCTGGTAGCATGCCCAACAGGAATATCTCAGGTTTGAAGTCTTATGTGTTGTTCTATCATAGCTTCGAAGTTTATTCCAATATTTTTTTTTGCTTTGGGACACGTCCACCACATGTGAACCTGATATTTGGTTACATTTCCAACATTTAACAGATTTGTCTTTGTACATATTTGCTATTCTTGCAGGTGAAAAGTGCCACCTATTAAACATTTTATAGAGATTTTCTTTATACGCTGTTGAGAGTGTAAACCCGTAGTTTGTAGAACCCATAATTTCTGCCATTTGTCGAATTCTATCGTATAGCCAAAATTCTTAGCCCAAGTTGTCCGAGTTTATTTTACTTGTTCTTCCTCCAATTTAACAGTTAATAAATAATTATATATCCTCCTAATTAATTTTTCATTTGTTCCCATTAGAATCTGGTCTAGCTCATTTGGTTCTTTATAAAACCCAGAGGCCTTCTTATCTTTTTCCTATCTCGGTTGTATCTGTAATTGTGGCCACTATGATAGGTCAATCCCTAATCTCTCTAGTTCTTGTTTAGTTTTTAGTTCTCCCCTTTCATTTAGTATGTCCTTGTATCTTATAATTTTTTCCATGTTCATAACATTTGGATGTACCAACGCCTCAGGGATGGGATCCGACCGGTAGGACTACTGGTTCTGTCGCTCTGCGTCGTGTGCGCATGCATGAGTTGCGTGAGAGGCGTGAGTGGAATTTATGACCCGCTGAGCTGCCCGGATAACTGAGCAGCACTGCGTGTGAGTGCGCAGTGGTTGAAAATCATTTTTTTCCTGCTTTTTCAACCACAGCTGTGTTGCGCAAAGCAGCTGCGGTTGAAAACGCAGGAAATAAAGGTCAGGTAAGAGCCTGGCTGGGCGGGTGGCCAAAACAGCAGCAGACATAGAATCGGTTCTATGTATGCTCTCTGTTTGCTGCTTTTCATAGCAACCAGTTCTATAGAAGTGGACAGAACCAGTAGAATCCCACCCCTGCAACGCCTCCATTGTAGATAACCAAACTGGTATTTTCAAATAATGTTGCTCTTAAATTTTAGTCTGTACTAACAGTAACGCATTCCTAATGTAGTCCCTCTGCAAATATGTCTCTCCCCCTTCTTGTACCATCCCAATTGCAGATCACGACCCTCCAGTGTTAGTAATCTTGTATTCCTCAAATTAATCCACCCTTTCACCCACGTAAGTGCCGATGCTTGGTAGTATAGCACCCAATTTGGAAGACCAAAACCCACCTCTACTTTTAACATCTTGTAGCATTTTTAATTTTATTCTCGCTTTTTTAACTTGCCATACAGATTTTAATATCTTATTTAATGCTTCAAAAAATGTCCCCCCCAGTTCTTATTTCAGGAAGTGACACGGACTCCAACCGTTCAGACCAGGGTAAGTTGGAGGGAACTGCTGCTGCTGCTGCTGCATGAGCCATTCTGTCCGTTTGCATGACTTTGAGTGAACGAGGGGATGAAAAGAAGAGAGCCTTTTAAAGTCCCTCCTGATCCATCCTCCCTGTGATCTCTCTGTATCTGATTCTGGTGGAGTAATTCGCATAATTGCGCCCACTTTGGCTTAGTGGTGAGGGCGCCAGGGGAGACTGGGAGTTCTAGTCCCGCCTTAGGCATGAAAGTCAGCCGGGTGTCACAAAATTCACTCTACTTGCACTGATTTGTTCTGCAGAGGAGGAGGGAAAAGTCCCCCTGTTGGAAATAAGAGAAAAACTTTCTGACAGGGAGAACAATTAACCAATGGAACAGGGGTTGTGGGAGCTTCATCACTTGAGACTTTTGAGAGGAGATTCGACTCCCATCTTGTCAGAAATGGTGTAGGGCAGTGATGGTTGACCTTTTCGTTGTTGCGTGCCGAAAGTGCGCGGGAGGGCGTGTGCACACGTGCCTGCACCCATAATGCAATGCACGTGCAACCCCCTCCCCTGCACATGCACGTGCCCCGCACATGCGCCTCAGATACCCGACAGTCAGCTCCTCCTCACAGGACAAGAGATTCATTCATTCTGTGTCTTTTTCTCCAATCCAGGGAGCAACCAGGCCGCTTAGCAGCCCCATTGCAGGTGAGTGGACTGGGGGGGGGGGGCCATGGGGGGGGGGGGGGGGGGGGGGGGGAGGGCTTTGGGGTCCAAGGACCAAGGGAGGGTGAGGAGACTTTGAAAATCCCTCTTCTCTCTCCTGTTCATCCCAAACACTGGAAGGGAAGGGATTTCGGGGGGAGGGCTCGGGGGAGGGGTCCTCCTGCCCCCAGACTCTGATCCTGTGGCGCCTCTCAGGCTCCGCCTGTCTTGGTCCCACTAACCCTTGGGTGCTTCTTCCCTCCTCTTTGCAGTGGAGACTCCCAGCC